CCTCCATCCCCAGCCCATCCATCCCCTGTCCACTCCCACCAGCCAGCCCCACCCGGGGCCCATCCCACGCTGGGACCTGCACACTGCACCGGATCCCACCGGAGCGTGCAAGGAGCGTGGGAACAGCCGCCCCTGTCCCGCCCGCACGACAGCTTTTACTGGGATGCAGCAGCGACTCCCAAACAGCCCTTTTCCAGGGAAACCCGCTGTGCTGGGCAGGCCCCATCTCCAGCCTGTGTTGGGGTCACCCCAGCTCAGCCCACGCTGCAATGCCCAAACCGAGCCCCTTTCCTGCAGGCTTTTCCCATGGGATCAGTTAATCCACGTTCCCATTGCCCCATCCTGCTCCTTTGGCCCCCGGACACGTGGCCCCTGTCAGGCACCATCATTGCTGCTTGCCTGTAACAAGGAAATCCAGCTCAAGGCACAAGAAACGGATTCACTTTTGTTTTCCTCTCAAATTGGCTGATGAAAGGCCCCAAACCCACAGTGCTTCCTATGGATCTGGGGAACTGGGGCCCTGCGTTCCCTGTGCCAGAGCCAGCTGGGCCCTTCCTCAGGAGGCAAAGCCAGTTTTTTAGGTTCCCTGAGACTGATCCGTTTGCTCAAGCTCCAGGCGTAAACACTGGGAGCCGATCAGTGCTGTTACACACATGGAAACCCCCCAAATCCGACCCCTGGGATGTGCTGGATTTTTTGCCTTCACGGGAACAAATCAACAAGAAGTCAGAAATAAATAAAAAAATCCAAATTTTGTTCACTTTTTGATCACAAAGGTTTGCCAGGGAAGGTTTTTTCTTCCTCTGCTGCCAAAAGGAGAGTGGGCAAGGGAGACACCGATCCCTGTGGGATTCAGGGATGTTTGAGACGGTCAGCTGGGGGGACGGGTGAAGGGACGGATGGGGTCCCAGAGCCTGTGCTGGATCAGGCACAAGAAGAGGAGTTTGGAGGAAAAGGGATTTTCCCAGATGTTTCTAACGGAGAAATGCAGCAAAATCTCCTTCCCTGGAAGGCAGGACCCGGAGCCGCCGCGTCCCTCAGGCCCTCTACCTGCCCAGGTGCTTGTGGGCAATGATCACCCGCTGGATCTGCGCTGTGCCCTCGTAGATCTGCAGGGAGAGCCATGGCTGGGGGAGCCGAGTGCTGGGAAGGGGGCTCAACCAGAGCTCTGCCCACCCGGGACCCTCCCAGCGCCGAGCCCGGGGGCAGGAAGAGAGAAAAGGAGGAAAAATGAGTGTGACCATGACCCACAACAGGCAATAACCACGTATAGGTGTGTGTGCCCAGTGCAGGAGGGATCCAGGGATCCCAGGTACACAAACACCTGTGTGTGCAGCGCAGGAGGGATCCAGGGATCCCCCAGGCTCAGCCTGTCGCAGCTCCAGGGCAGCAGAATTTGGGGGTTTCAGTGTTTCAGCTCCCAGTTCTACCAGAAGTAGGATTGGCAAATTGCTCCCACTCCTGCAGATCCACTTTCTCTGCAGTCTCAAAATCAAGATAATCTTCCCCAAACCACACAAACCTTTTCCAGGTGAAGCTGCTGGAATTGTACGGCCCAGTGCCTTTCCTGAGTTCTTGCAGGGATGGAGGGAGCAGGAAACACACCCCAAAATTCATACTAAAGCAGAGTAATTGGAACAATTTCAAGGTCCCAGCTTCCCTGGCTCTGCATTGAAGATCGATCTGTGTGATGGAGAATTGGATAACTGGGATCCTGGGAAACAAAAATCCCAGAAAAGGAAAAGAGCCTGATTTTGACAAAGGCCTGCATCTCATTCAGTTCCTCCCTGGCAGGATTGAAATCAGGACTGATAATTTTTAGATTGCAAACAGCTGCTTTCTGTCCTTGGGGAGGGAAAAATTCCTAGCTGGTGAGAACAGTTGGAATTTTAAAGTCAGCTGTAAAAGGAATGTCAACTACCCAGAATCAACAGTAACAACAGCAGCTGTGACCCCTGTTCCCTGAGACCTGTTTGGATCTCTTCCATCCAGTCATGGGTAATGTCAGAAAGAGGGGAAAGGTGAAGATCCCTGGGTTTGCTAAATGGAATGTAATCTTTCCTGCTGAATAACGAACTGGAGTCAAGAGAGAAATTCTGGCCTGGAATAATTTCTTGGCAATAATACTGCAGAAAAACTGCTGGGGATTAGGGGTGTCTGTGGGCCAAAAATGAGGAAATATGACCGTGTTTGTTCTTTTGGAAAAAAACCCAATAAATAAATACCTAAAGAAGTGAATCACCACAGGCTGAGCCCCACAGCTGTTCCTGCAGCCCACACAGGGTAATTAATGCTGATTAATTAATCCGTGTTCCTTAGTGCTCGTGAGAGCTCAGCTGAAGCACCTGCCCGGTGTGTGAGTATTTGAGGATCTCAAATTTAAGGCCTTTCTGCCAATGGAAGGATTGTTGCTCTCAGCCTCCAAATCTTTTCATCCCGTGTCCATCCTGATTGCAACTACTCAGGTGTTAATTATTCTCTATAGAACACCTGTGTCGCTGTGGAGGCCCCACGCTCTGTCCCACTCACCTGGTAGATTTTGGCATCCCTCATGAGCTTCTCCACGGGATATTCCGTGTTGAACCCGTTCCCCCCAAAGATCTGCACGGCATTGGTGGCCACCTGGTTGGCGACGTCCCCGGCAAAGGCCTTGGTGACGGAGGTGTAGAAGGTGTTGCAGCGGCCGGCGTCCACCTCCCAGGCCGCGTACTGGTGCGCCAGCCGGGCCAGCTCCACATTCATGGCCATCTCTGCCAGCAGGAACGCCATGGCCTGGTGCTGGGAGCGGGGAGACCCACCGGGTGAGCTTCAAAGGGCAGGGACACTTGAGGGGAATGTGCCTTCTTCAGGGACTCAAGGAGCCATGGAATCGTTGAGGCTGGACAAGAGTGTCAAGATCACCGAGCCCAACCCTTGTCCTCACCACTAAACTGTGTCCCCAAGTGCTGCATCCACATGATGAAACCCTCCAGGGACGGGGAGTCCCCCATAGCCCTGTGCCAGGGCTGGAGAAATCTTTCTGGGAATAAATTTTTTCCCCATAATCTGATTTTATATCTTCATTTCCTAATTTGCAAATTCAATACACTTGGGAAGTTGTGCTTGAGGAGTTCTACAGAACTGGGATCCATCCCTCAACTCCATGTTGAATTAGACTTTGCCATTTTTGACGCCCAATCCCTCGGACTCACCTCTACGATGGGTTTCCCGAAGGTTTTCCTCTCCAGCGCGTACCTTGTGGCCTCATCGAGCGCTCGTTTCGCCAGCCCCACGGCCCCCGCTGCCACCTGGGGCAGGCACAGTGCAGGATGAGCAGCAGAAATCCCCAGCTTAGGTTAGAAACAGCCCATTTCTGGCACTCGCGGGGGGCCCGGTCTTGTCAAAGGCGCCCATGGCGATCTTGAAGCCAGCCCCCTCCACGATCAGCACCTTCTCCTTGGGGACTCGGACGTCCTCGAAGACGATCCCGCGCGTGTCCGAGCAGCGCTGGCCCATGTTCAGCTCCTGGAAAAGGGAATTTACAGAGGTGCCACTAAATCAGATTCTTCTGAGATTTAGTTTACTCAAAGAAGCTTTTTTTTCCCCCCAAACCACTTCAATTTTAGCTAAAACCAATCATAGAGACAAGAAATACCAACTTTGCCTTCCCAGCCCAGCAAGGCCCTGACCTGTCCCACTGTGTGGGATATCAATCCTGGGGCTAGAATCTCTCCTTTGGCTTTTTCTGGTTCAGTTTATCCTTTGGAGGATTCAGTTACATGTGTAATTCAATTCTACCCTCTGACATGGGAGAGGAAACAGCCAAGAACCTCAGTGAAGGCAGCTGTGAGACCCAGCTGTGCTGCCAACAGACAAATTCCTAAATAAATGAGGTTTTCAAGTTCCAAATGTTCAATCTCTAGTTTTGCTGCTACTAAAAATGGCAGTTTCTTTGTTTTGTTTTTGTTTCCCCCCCCACAAAGAGAACTCCAGAGCGCCTTCCTGGGGCAGGAGCAGGCGAAATTCCAGCGAACTGTGAAGTTTTGGGGGAAGTTCTCCACCTGGCTGCTGACACCTTCACCCCCCTGAATATTAATCAGCTCTTGCCAATTCACCTTCCTGCCGATCTGGATGCCGGGGCTGTTGGCCTCCACGATAAACCCCGTGAAGGCTTTGCTGGCTGGGGCTCAGGGGTCGGCGTCAGTGCGGGCGAGCAGGAAATACCTGTGGGGGAACAGAGACGGGGGCTTGGCTCATCCTCAGCAAGCAGACACTGCTGGACAGAAATGTCCCCAGTTTTTATCTGTGTACCATACAGGAAACCTTTTTAATGAGCCCTTCCAAAAAAAACCCCAACCAACGAGGAGGGAGGAGTGTGAGGAATGTCAGTGTTCTCAGGGCCTCTCTTCCTGCAAACATCAAGACTTAATGAAATTCCCTCAGATCTACCTGCAAAGCTTCTCTGCCTTCTCCATGAGTTGTGTCTCAATATCACACTCAGCCTCACAAGTAGCCCCAAATAAACCAATTCCCGGAACATCCGTAAGGATTATTGCTCAGGGAATACAGTATTGTGTGCAAAGCCTTATCCTCTCAATTGCCAATATCTCAATTTTACTCAGTATCAGTTGTAAATGCAATTTTTTCTGTTAGCAATTGTTGAAATCCCATTGCTGGGGGTCAGGAATGTGCTGGGAGAGTCTCTGTGATGGTTCTGCTTCAAGCAAGAAGTTAAACAGTGAGAAACCCCAACTTTTGTAGATATTTTTTGTATAAAGTTTTTCCTCTTGAACTGTAAAGCCTTGGTGTGTTGGGGTGGGGAGGGATGGCGTGCTGAGCCCTGGGGAAGGGTCTGTGCTGCCCTGCTGTGCTGGGCAGGCTCTGGGACTCCTTGGAAACGCCTTCCCTTAAGGAAATTCAATGTAACTCCCCAGTTCCAGAGTTTTCCTGTTTTCCCTGGAGAGGTTCGTGGCTGAGTCAGAAGCAGCTGATCCCTGTCCCAGAGCCAGGGCAGGGCTGGGTAACCTGAGCGCTCTGTGAGTGAACGCTGAGTAACTCCCTGTCCCAAGGGGAAAGCAGAGCGGATTTGGTTTGGTTTCAGCCCAAATAAAGCTGCATTCCTGACTGGGGCTTTGACATCATCGAGCCATGATGTCACCGAGCTGTGATGTCATCACTCCATTCCCTGTTTGGGCACCCACAGGGGCTGCTGGTGCCTCATCCTGATGAGCTGGTGACAGAGTGGAGCACTCAGGTTGGTGACAGGCCCTTCCAGGAACACCAGCAGAGCCCAGTGGGACTGCGAAGCCACACTGGTTCCAGCCAACGCACCAGTTGGCCTTCCCGCCATTGGTGATCCACATCTTCTGCCCGTTGATGACGTACTCGTTTCCCTTCCGCTCCGCCCGGGTCTTGATCCTGGCCACGTCCGAGCCCGCGCTGGGCTCCGTCACGCAGTTGGCCTGGAGGTAACAAACGCCAGCACCCCGAGGAATCAACGGCCTGAGTTTGGGCAGCCATGAAATTACTGTGGAATTGTGGGCACCGATGGATCCCCAGTGACGCTCACACACGTCAGGGACTCCTCTGTCATCAGCTAGTTAATTAACTAATTATTGTCACTGCCTGGTCACACTCACACACATGAGGGGCTCCTCTGTCATCCTTCCCAAGTATTTCTTCTGCTGCTGCTCATTCCCAGCGATGATCACCGGCGTTTGCTGCAAGGCAACGTTCAGAGCATTAATCCGTCACTTCAAGGGCCCCAAACCCGGTTTGGAGGACCGAGCCCGGTTTGGAGGGCCTAGATCCCAGTTCTGAGGGCTGAAACCCCAGTTTAAAGGATGCAGAGATGAGTTTGAGGGTCCCAGAGTGCAGTTTGGGGCTGAGCAGGACTCATCCCCAGGGAATTGGCCTCGATGGCTGTCTGCACCCTGGTGCATCCATAGGCCAGCTCCTCTGTGATCAAACATGCCTCGAAGGAGCCCAGCCCCAGCCCCCCTGTAGGGGACAGGTCAGAGCTCAGTGGAGTCTCAAGCGGAAAATATTAGTGATTTACAAGCTTTTATTATCCAAACATCCCCTGTGTGCACTGCATTCCACTGGACATCCCCCCACGGGCTTGGGAAAGAATGTGCTGTCAGATTTATACTTTTGTTATTTTATTTCTTTATTTTCATTTCAGTCAGATGATTTAAAAATCCCATTTTATGGTTCTGGGGGAGTTTTGCGCTCAAGGTGGAACAAGTGGCACAAAATGGCCAGGAGGTGCCACTAGGATCTGTCACTGCTTTACATCCAAGCATTCCCCCAGAAGCTCTTGGGAAGCAGAGGCAGGGCCATGAGGGCTCTGACACCTCACAAAACTACCTATTAGAACCCCCAACTCCCTTTTTTCAGAGGCAGGGACTGGTGCAGCAGACACCATTTACCTGGGAAGTCTGGATCACTTTTCCCCTTTCCTGTGTCCATCTCTTTTCCCATTTTGAATTTCATTTTAACACCCTGTTCCATGACCTTCTCCCACAGCTCTTGGGAGGCACCAGTCTCTATTTTTCCACACCCACTAAGTCAGTCTCACCAGTGACCTCCTTTTCCAGGTTATTTGTGGGTATCCCAGCCAGACTGTGCTGATGATTTTCTCACCATGAAACATGATGATTTTTCAAATCCATTCCTGAATTTCGAGTGTTTAACACCCACCTGGCCCACCTGTGTGTGTCCACCTGCCCATGGATCCTTTTGGGATTACTCCAGGGTGCAACTGGTAATTTTACACATAAGCCACAATTTCACACATAAATCCCCTCCAAGACCTTTTCTTTGGTTTATTTTAGGGATTAAAATGGATCATCACTCACCACAGCTCTCTGGGATGTGAGAATTCATCAGCCCAAGCTCCCAGGCCCGTTTGATGAGTGGCACAGGATACTGGAACAGGAAAAATCCCGATTGATTATCACAGGTAACATTTCAAAATTCACATTAAGAGAAAAGTCTGGTTTTCCCCTGCTGTGTGGTGGATTTACCTCGCCAGTCTTGTCATACTGAGCAGCAACAGGAATAATCTCCTCCAGAGCAAATTTCCAGGCAGTGGCTTGGAATTCCTTCTGTTCATCTGTCAGTTCTAGTGGAAAATAAGAGGTAAAAAAATCACAAAGATGTTTAATTTTCTCCTTCCCTTTGAAACTCCCCTGAGCTCTGAGCAATGCCCACAACACCATTACTTACCAAATTATTCAAAAACTACTGAAAATAGAGCAGGAAGTGCCAGGTAACAAAATGTTTTAGTAAAAACACCCATCAAACATCTGCTGCTGCCCCACAGAATTTGCTGTAATAGCTCAAGTGAGGAGGAATCTGTGTGTCACATCCCTGGACCCACTGCGTTCCCCTGATGCTACACAGGGTTCTTTTAACAGTTTAAAAGCCAATGCAGGATCATCGTTCAATGCTGAGGTAACTTTGGCAATGAAAAGAGCTCAAGACAGGTAAAAGAAGGTCTCAGAAGTATCGCACACGTCCTCCCAGCAGTCCTGAGCTGGAAAGGAAAAGGGATTTCGGATTTCAAATAGTTTTTATAAAAAGAATAGAAATCTATTCCAAATAAACACCTACCTTGAAATTCCTCCTGAACTCCAATGCCGTTGTTTGGCTTTTTTGGGGTTGGTTGGGGTTTTTTTGGGGAGGGTCTCTGGTTTTTTGTCTCATTTGCTGCCATTTGTCCTTCCCTGTTCCCTCCCTCCCCAGCCCTGCCACACTCACCGAAGCTGAACCCGGCCCCAGGTTTGCTCAGGTGCACATTTGGGGCAGGTTTGCTATAGCTCGACCTCCAGCTGTGCCAGACCACGGTCCGAAGCAGCTGCTGCAGGAAAAGGAGTGTGAGAATGAGGGAATGTCCCGGGCTGAAGCGAGGGGCACATCCCAAAGGTGCTGGTGAGGGACACGGGCTGTGACAGGTGTCACACAGGCAAAAAAGGTATTTTCAGAGAATACTGAAAATACCTGTAAAACCAAAAGGTGAAGAACTGTGGGAAGAACTGGGATAGAGCCTGGAAGGCAGAGCTGCAGAGTCAGTGCTGCACAGCTCAGGGAATGGGGGGGGTGGCTTCCAGAAGCTGAAGTGTTATCCGTGGGGTTTTCACAACCCACAGATGTTGTAAAATGATATTTTCCCTTCTCATCCAGGTTTTCCCTTCTTGCCTGAGCTTTCTTGCCAAACTGCTGCCACAGGGTAGGAAAATAAAACAAATAATACCAGGAAACCTCCAGACAAACCTCAACCCTCCCAAACATTTTACACCTTGTTTGAGCTATAACTGACAGGAAGATGAGGTAGAAAAAAAAAAGGGAATTGCAATTGTGGGAGCTTTGTTTGGTTGGTTTTTGTTTTCCTTTGGGATTTGCTGGTTTTTTTTCCTTAAGGATGATCCAGTCCTATGCAGCTTGTCCACCAAAAAGTTTAGACGAAACTAGGAAAAGCCCTGAATTCCTAACAAGGCTGAAGGTGACACCCTGTGGAAAGGAGCTGTCAAGTTTGTGTTAGAGACATTCGGTCTCGTGGTTCTCCTGTCCCAGGGCTGTGCAAGGTCAAGGACATCGCTGAGGTGACTCTGGAAACACCAACACCCTCAGACAGGTGGAGGTGAGGGTTGGGCAGGGGGTCACAGCAGGAGGCGCACAGAGGAGGGACAAAGGACCAAAGGTCACACACAGAGGATGAGATGCTGGAGCAGTTTATGTGCCCCATCCCTGCAAGTGTTCCCAGGCAGGTCGGACAGGGCTTGGAGCAACCTGGTCTAGCAGAAGGTGTCCCTGCCTGTGGCAGGAACTGGTGGAACTGAGTGGTCTCTAAGGTCCCTTCCCACCCAAACCAGTCTGTGATTCCGTGTATGGATTTGGGCGAGCACCTGTCTGCTCGGTCACCTCTCTGTGCCCTGAGCCTAACCCCAACTCCTCGTGCCTTCCACCCTCTCTGGCCCCGCTGCCGGGGGCTGAACCCCAAATCCCGGTGCCCGGAGCATCCCTTGTGAGATCCGCAGCCCCCGCCGCTCCCGGACGGAACCCCCCCCCGGTCACCGGGACGCTTGGGGCAGGTGGCCATGGGGACACTGGAGCGGCACCGGAGGGACAGCGCAGGGACACGGCCGGGCCGGCGCCCTTCACCTTTCCCTCAGTTCAGGAATCACGGGGAGAATTGGAAGCGCCGGCGCAGTTCTCGGGGAGGGGGCCCGGTGGATCCCAACGTAAGGAATGTTCCCAGTTACCAATGGCACGGGCAGCCCTCGGGGAGCAGAGG